TTTGTATTATGTCTACAGTTTCAGTGCTGACTGTTTTACAGTCACACGCGTTTGGTGCGGTATTCCCTCACACTTTGTATAGTCCTGTTCTCTGTTATTTTTATTTAATTGGATAAAAAAAAAATAAAATAAAACGTGTGAATATACATTAAGTATATTTATGTAATATTAAATTATTTTATATTTTATTATCATTTATATTTATTTTTTAGATTTTGATTTTGATGAAGTGATAGTTGATTGATTGATTATGTTAGATATGTGTATTATAATAACCTATATTATGCAGATACGAGTAGTATATTATTATTTAAAATTATAGTTCGCCATAATAAATCAGAAATGTATGAAGTTTCATAATAAGTTATAGTAATAATAGTACGAATAAATAATAATTTTGCAAACGTTTCATGATTTAAATAATGAACGCCTAACGAGTCTTTAGGCCGTTGGGTAGTTAAAAGGAATATATACAAACCACTCTCCCAACAAATGAAATTAGAAGGCGAAAAGTACGTCTACGCTCATATTAATACATACACACACACAAATATATATGTATGTGTATTTGTGTGTGTATAACCACGACTCTCGACTTTAAATTATTCAAAGTGTTTGTATCCTTATTAAACTCTATAATTCACACATACGAGTTATTAAGTCGAATTCGTAATACTAGTCCGCAGTAAATAAAATGCATAATAATGATAATATATTCGATGCGAACAAGCGTATCCTGTTATATATAAACACGCGAAATCGTCGCAGTATTTTCCAGTTATTTATTTATTTTCAACATGCACTTCGATTGAACATTGTTTTTTGTCATTTTTTGTCCCCTTACCTCTCATTGTTGTATTGATAAAACACGATCATTTTTGTAACTGCTACTATTATGTATAATAATGAAAGTAAACCGTATAATAACCAAAATCGTTGCTCAGCTTATATCAGTTAATCTACAATAGGTATAATATAAAATGTGAGAGGAAGCTGTAATATGCTTTTAAGATACTTCTCTAAAAACCATGTTACTGGTTTATTTTGATAGTATTTTTAATACAAAACGCACTTTTACAATGATTTATACGTATTACAATAAATTCTGATTTCAATGTTAGTCTTATTCAAGTATGATTATCTTTACAGAATAGTCATAATTTGCTATTCATCAAATAATCAGCAATAAGTTTTATATCGTACATGGATCTTAAAATCAACAACGATTTGTAGCATCGTTGAAAGTTCTAAATAAATATATATGCACTAATAGCATCACACGTACGTGTGTCTTGGAAATTATTGTATTCGAAAAATATAATACTAAATAATTATAAAATCTATTTTGGACAGTACAAACATAATATATTTATATAGTTATCAGCACTAAATAGTATATTATATTAATATGTATTCGATATAGGCGCAATAAAATATAAATCCTGTACGTTCCAGTCAACGCCCATTTATTTAAATAGGTATATATTTCTATAGTGGTTTGTTTATAACTATTTCAGTTCAGCCGTTTCATTTGTTTAAAATGTCTGATAAATATCATTCGACCAGTATTGATTTCGAATGGCCGAGTATTTATTTTAAGTTTTTTTTTATGAGCAATTAAAAAATATAAATCACTAATACGAATCGCTAGTTGACTAATTTTTATGAATTGATCAAATGAAACAAAGATAAAAAAAAAAAAAAAAGGAATACAATTATTCATTAATTTTAATACTCACTATTTTTCATGCATAAATTTACTACCAAACTTTTATTACTTTTTATAATAACAAACATTATAATTTTCCATTCGTTCGTACACAATATTATTCAATCTTATTATTACTTAAATTATAAACGCTGCATATTATAGATATTATGTGCATAAATATTACTTAAGCGTTTAAAAAGAGAGTAGCTTTAAACTGTATGGTTTTTAATTGTAATATTTTATGACATTTTAGTAAATTATTATTCAATAAATATAAGTACGTAATTATTGTTGAGTTAAATAAAATAATTTTGTAGTTAACAAAATGTACATCGTCATTGCACAATATAATGTGTATGTTATATTTATGCAGAAAAATATATTTCATGTACAACCATCATCTAATTTATAACGTCATATTATTGTTTGAACTGTTATCAAAATATAATTATTTTATAATAGGTAATTTTTTTTTTTTATTGAACTTAAGCCCGTCGACTAAGGCCATTAGCTGTTGTAGGGGTTATGAACTGTGGGTAGAGGTAAGGTTGGTATAGGTAGGTTGTTTTACGATTGTTATGGTTGTTACGGTTGATAACAAACACGTGTATGTGTGGCAAGGTTTTTAACCACTACGAGCCCGGGTGGTCACCCATCCGGGAACTAGTAGCTGTGGCTGTTACTTACTGCCAGTCGCATTCTGCCAACATACCACACCAAGCCACTTAATAATAATTGTTATGACGTTAAATACATATTATGTACATCTTTTTATAAGAACGTATTTAATAATAAAAAAAATAAATGATAGGTAGCATATTTTCTGCTGTACAACATAAAAATACGAAATCAGAATAATAAATAATTATAGTATTTTTATTACCTATCATTCGAAACGATGACGATAAAAAATATACTTAGTACAATATTAATATAGTAACACGAAAAGTGATATTATTGTAAAATTTATAAACTAACGAATGAAAAATGAAAGAGACAAAGTTATACTTGTATTATTGTTAAAAGTGTACAATAATGATTTTCAGCCTTTCGATATCGTTTTACAGACTTCCATCTGGTAGTATAGCTCTCTATAGCTCATTAGTTTTATTAAATTATTTATGTTATTTTATAATATGCGGTTCAAGTAATATTATGAAAGATTGGTTTTTGGTCTTACAATACAAAGAGTGTATTATAAATGATAAACTTTAGACTTTAAAAGGACTGATATGATGTTTATATTTTAATTTTTTTGTATCGCACTTCTTAGTTTTTATAGTACGATTTTCAACTTTAAGGGTAATTATTATGATAGCAAATCAGATCTAGTATGTACTTAAAAAAGAGAACAAAATTAAAAATTCCCTGTTCACTTTTTAAAATAATAAAGGATCAAAATAAAAAATTCCTACATTTAATGATTAAAAAGTTTTTTGGTAACAATTGTTACCAAAAAGTTAGAAAATCTTCGTTCATAATCGTATCTCACCACGCATTATCACAATAATTTATCATTGGGCTCAAATTTAACATATCCATTTCTGTTACTTGCTTAACGACGAGGGACACTCGAGACCTACACCTGTATAGTAGAACGATTGAAAGCACTGTTGATTTTAAAATGTAATATTTTAGAGTTATGGCATATTATGAGTTTTCATAATTTTAAAAGATACAAAATACAAGTCTATTGATTTTGTCGCATTACCATATATTATCAACTGCTATACTCGTATAATTGTCCGTGTTATTTCGTATTTATTTATATCGGTTATTGCCGATAGTTCTTTTTTGAAACGTAAAGGCCATTTTACGGTCGCGCTTTCGGGTAAATAAGGTACGCGCATACAATATATCATTCTGAAAAGTGCAATGGGCGACCTACCCATGAACGTTGCGTTTTGTTTACAGCACAGTCATGGAAAACATTATATTTTTTATGCGATAAAATAATCGTAAAACACCGTCTATACGTTAAAATCCGATAACTGGTAAAAGAGGACCAGCCGAAATACGAACGCAAATTGGGTGTTTTAATGTCAGACGACACTTGATTTATTTTCAAACACTATGTGCGAAAGAGACACAGAGACAGATACATAATACAAAAATATAAAAATGTAGTTTAATGCGTAGTCGTCTTTCTTGGCGATGTAGGCGCGTGCTCCGTGAATAACAATATAATATATTGGCAGTTCAAAGACGGTGAGTTATATATAGTTGTTTTTTTTTTCTGTTATTCAAACAACATTTTTTACCTATCATATTTTATCATGATTAGCTGTAATTTTTCTTTGCACGACAGTACGGCGTCTCTTCTTGATCTTCTCTTCTTCGACATCATATGAATTAAAAACAGCCAGTGACGATAATATATATATATTATAAATAATATCCTACTTACTTTTTAGTTATTTTTCTCTCTCTTATTAGAATAATGTTTACGTCGTTTTCTCATTGATGAATGTACTGTTGTTCAAATATCACATAATAAACATTTTGGAAATTTTTCTTCTGACTTGTCGAACCTCGAGACGACGTGCTTTGTCATCTCAATGCTACAAGCAGTACAATAGATTGTGCTGACAAAAAATATTCATATATTACCTTTAGTATAATATATAAGTACGCAGCACATTATCGTCATTGTAAAAAACACTCTTTAAAAGCACTAGTCAATACATTATATACCCAGTAGTACCGTAATATAATTTATTGTTTATTTCAATATGTTTATACGCCTATATTATGAAACATAAAAATTCAACGTCGCGATCTTCGTTAACAGCAAAAAGGAATATTATACGTTTAGAAACGCGTAAACATTAATATTTAGTTGTTGTTTATAATATAAGTAAAATGTTTCAAGAATAAATAGTTTTTAGCTTACATAAACTAAATAACTGAAAAAAGATATTAGGTAATTAAAATTATATCCTTGTGCAATATACATACTTATTATGATAACATGTTTCAAATGATTTACAATTTTTGGTTTAGGTTATTTATTTTGTATTGAAAATTGTTAAGAGTTTTGCAGTGTTCTCTGGAGGGTTTAATATAGTGAAAAAGGGGTAGTTAAAAAATTTATAAACTTTGGCACGATTAGAACAATTGATCAAGAGCACATATACTATACCATACGAAATACAATATTGTACCGAAGATAATTTATAATTTATTATAACATTTGCAAAGTAAAAAAAAAAAATACAATCGTCTCTTTGTTTGGATTAGAATATTAGAATATACTTTTTAATACGTTGTTTTTGTCATGTGCTTACAGTGTTGACGGGAACGAAAACCGTTTTCTCAGGGAGTTCGTGGCTTGTGCGCCGCACTCGGCCGGTTGTCGGTTGGCCAGATGGCTTCAACCAGAATCAGTCATCGAACCGGATTCATGTGAGCTTTCACTCTCCACGGCTGAGGTGCGGTGTGGTTGGCCCGCCAAATTTACTGTTCGAACGCGTGATCAGTACGGTAACCTAGTTCAGTCGATTGGATTAAAGGTATGTATACATATTAACGAGCTTATCATAATAATTGTAGTATGACTATAAATACTCTAAATACGAAATTGAAAAAAAATTAGATTTAAACATAAATATTTGGGAAGGGAGATCTTGAATTTTAAATATTCTTTTAGCCTTTCAGATTTAGAAACACACAATCGATCTTATAGCCAATTTTTTAGAAATAATTTTAAAAAAAACATAATGTAACGTGTTGTTATTTTTTTTTCTGTTTTTAATACATACTGTAAAATTGTTTTAAAAAAAATACATTTTAATATCCTAACTGAAACACTCATAACATTTTAATCATTTAAGTAATTTGTAGCTTTGAATAATATTAAAAAAAAATATTATGAAATGTTTAAATTTCATTGATATTTTTACGAAGTCTGAATACAGTGCTTCAATAATTTTAATTTAAATAACATGTTGCAACAATAATTGAGTATTCTTTTTTATTTCATGAAAAGTAATTAGTTACCTTCATAACATATTTATATTATAATATAAATTATTTTCATTTTGAACTTAACATCAGGTAATTTGGTTTTAAATTAGACAAGGCACTTTCAGTATATAAAAACTTGTTGGCAAACAACCGTCGATCATTTATGTTTCAAAACATTAAAAAAGCTTTTATTGTACAGTATAATACAAATGTGATTTAATTTTCTAATTTTTATATTATACATTTTTACATAATAATTTCAATTATATAATAAATAATGTATTTTTTGAAAAGACATTTTTAGGTTTTTTCTAAGACTTTTTTTTAGAACTTTTAGGTCATGAATGCATTTTTTGAAAAGGCATTTTTGGGTATTTTTAAAGGAATTAATATCCGAATTAAAAATTATTAAAGTAAAAAATGTATTATAAATATCTAATTTTTATTAATCAATTTTTACTTTTTATAAAGGAATAAGTGCATATTTCAATAACTTATTTAAAACTAATTTTTTCAACATAAAAAAAAAAAAAAAGATTTCGAGTTAAGAGCACTTTTTTTATTGATTCTATTAGCAATATAAAATCAAGTAACCAATAGAAAAAATAGTAATCCATTTAATTAAATATTTTGTTATTTACAAGGGTTATCAAAACGTATATATATATTTCGTAAAAGATTTAATTTATTACTTTAGAAAACCATTTTATTTATTAATTATTATTATAACTATTTATGTTAATATTCTATTCAAATTTAAAATTCGTGTAAAATAATTCATATGAAAAAATATAATGAAATATTGTAATTATCGTTGAATACATTTCTATAAAAAAGTTATAGCGAATTAAATTTTCATTAATAATAATAAGGATTAAATATGTTTAGCATATATTTTACGCATGATATATTTTTATTTTTAGTAAAACTTAAGTTTTGAAATTGAATGGTAAAAACTATAATTTAAATAATTTAAATTAATTAACAAAATGCTTTATCTAAACTTTAATTATTATTTTACACACATATTAAATCTTTAATAAAAAAAATAAATAAACGTTCGTAAAGCTGTTAAAAAACCTCAACTTTTCTATACTTACAGAGAACTATTAAGCTCACTCGCAATACCATAGTAAATATAATATTTGTTTCATAATTTATAAGTGCACAACAGTTCAAAAAAAAAAAAGTTTAAAAAGTTATAATATTTTATTTTATTTTTTTTATAAACTAAATTTGTATGTATTTTATGTTAGTAAAATTGATTATTTTTGTGCATCTACCAGCTATTTAAAAATTAACTAATTTTTCGTAACGAAGTTATCTGAGTATACACAGTGATAATAATATAATAAATGTAATTTAAATAACTATAATAATACGAAATAATCAAGTTTAAGTAAAAAAAATTTGTAATATTTTATTTTGTTCCTAATTATTGTTTTATTGATACTTGAAATATTATTAGCCGTACATTTATTTCCTGTTGTGTTTAATTTTAAATTCAAAGAAATATATTAAAGCATAATTGTATCTGTATACTGTATAGTGTATGTGAATCAATTTTATAATAAATTATTGTCTAAATACAACAGGTGGAATTTTTCACTCAATCGAACTGCAAATCCAAAGCCAACCCATATATAGACATTTGTTCCGGTACAGTGGATGACAAGTATTTCGGTGGAAACCCTATGCCAAAAACGTTTGTCCCGTACGAGGCGGTTGTCAAGGACAAGTTCAGATATCAAACCATTACATTTATGAAAGTACGTAGATGTGATAAAATAATAGTATTCTATAGCTAGAATAACGCATAAAATAGTTGCTACCGTTAGTGACTTTTTGTAAACTTGAATCACGTAATTGTGTATGTTTTGTTATTTAATCTCAAAGAAATCTATCGAAAACTTATTATTTTAATACGTTTAGTCTTACCAGACTTTCGTGGACGTATAATATCCATTGATTCCGACGGCAGTGGGTTATGACAGTAATTAATTAAGTCCGTTTTTAATCAGAATAATTACGGCTTAAAGGTTTATCGTTCGACGAATATACAACTGTAACAACACCAAACAAAAAAAAAAATACATATTTATTAATTCCGTTACTACAAACCATCGTGTATACCTACATGCAATAAAATAATGTGTATATCACATGCACAATAACATCGGTCTATTGTTGAACGGTATTATTTGTACTATCGAGATAAAGCAACGTAATTATATTATGTTGATTTTAATACCTTGACTATTGAATCATCGAAGTCGGTTATAATAAATTAACAAATTGTATTATTAATTAATAAAATCAAAACGTCTGCGGATTATAAATCATAATGTTTACGCTATGTCTTACATTATATTAATGCGAACGATAGTACTTATAAATAAAAATAAAAAACACTTATAATATACATGATTTTATTGTATTTTAGCATTACGAAAATTATTCGTTTGAAGAACTCCGGCTGGCGTCACCGTCGGCAAAAGGTGACTCAGAAAGGTTGACCATGGAGTCGCAGGGCAATGGCACTTACACCGTGTACTGGTCACCAATGACCACCGGATATTACGACATCAGGGTGGAAGTGGATGGCTATCTACTGACGAAACAAGTATTTTTTTTTACTTTTTTATATTTAATAGTTCCTGTTATGGCCTATAAAATACAATACGATAATTTTAAACGACTGGCGTTATTATAATATAGCGAAACCGTGTTTTTTATTCAATAAAATAATTCGATAGCACACCAACACGCAGAATAGCAGACTTTATCATCAGAAAATTTAGGGGAGGGGGCATTATACTATTTAAAAAAATCATAAAATCATAAAATGTTTAGACACTGTAGATCAATAAATGTCTTATTTAATAGTAAGTTAGATTGTATTCCCCAGGAATCCATCATGACACTTTTAACAGAGGTAGACCAAAACCGGGGAAAAATAAAATAGGTACTAAATATAAATGAATAAATAAGGAACTTCATAGTAAATAATAAAAAAGACTTACAATATGATCTGTTTATATACTATGGAAATAAATTTACGACGATCTTCTGTAATATGGTCTTAGATATTGATGTAAAATGAAAGCGGACAAAATTAAATACGATTTTATCAAAATATATCATGTACGAATACTATATAGTATATTATATATAAGTATAACAAAGCTAATCAACTATTAGTTTTACATTCACGAGCAGACTAATGGAAAATTATTTTATCGGTACGCGATGATGCGTAACACAATAATGGTATACGCAGTGATATCGTCAACACTTTTGACTAATTTTAATCACAGTGAAAACACTATCGAAAAATGTTGATGTATGGGAGAAACTATATTTATTAGACTAAGTGAGAATGCTATATTTCCCCCCCCCTCCTGGCAACGACCCTATTTTAGAACCATATAGGTAAGTAATTCTAGTTTATCTTATTTCGGATCGCTAGAACGAGGAACGTATTGTGATTTTTAAGGGGTTGTATGCAACGCAATTCGTTTTACATATTACGATAATATATAGTCGTGATAAATTGAGCGCGTCGATCAGACGGCGTGCCCGCTCCTCCCCTTTCGACTGCAGAGTATTTATCACAAAAAATCACCAGATAAACCTAAGAGAACTCACCCGGTCTTAGATTAATGTCGAACGATCTTTCAACGGGCCGAAACGAGCATCAGAATCGTGATCTTTTTTTTTTTTCAAACGCGGTGATTGCTTTTTGCTAAATGTGTATTATCACGTATAACATAAAAACTAGTACACCCGCCCACTGTGATCCGTCCGGTTTGGATAAACACATCGAGGGGATAGAAAAGTTTTACAGTTTCGACGTATTATGTAATATTATGTGTTATGTACAAGTACACGTCCTCTTTCGACAGACGATTTCCGTCGTAACTAAGTAAAGAATAATACGTTTATAGAATGTACCTAAAGTATTATTTGATGATAACAATAATAATACTAGATTTTAATACCTTAACCTAATTGCCGGCGTGTTCACAGACGAAACACATCGACGTGAAAGAAGCGCCTTTCAATGGCGCCAAGCCTCCGGACAACGGACTGGCGCTTTCGTCTCCGGCCACGAAACTGCTACAGCACATGGGCAAATATAGTGCTGGACTTCGGATTCGCACACATCCATCGCTCCAGTCCGAACAAATTGGAGTAATCCCCGTCAAAGGGATCATTGGATACACCGATGAGGTGAGTTTTCTGGACACATGATAATAGTGTCTGTAGCAGGATTTACAAATAATGTATGTTACAATATTATATTGACATTATTAAACTAGCGAAGTTGTATATTATAATGATTGATGAACGTGACGGAAATCCGAAATATTGCTTCTATCCCATCGAGTTTTTCAGTCGTTTTTAATACTACAGTACACATTATTATTATAAACCTAATTATTATTATTTAATTATAATAATGATGTGCCGTAACATATTAGTTTCTTAATAGTAATTATTTATGTTTCACCTTCGAGAGAATGTTTACAATTTTAATTTTGATATGTGATGAACTGTTTTTTTCTAATTTAAACTTATTTTTTTGCTGTTTGTAGGTAAGTTTAAAAATTAAATTTTTCTTTTAAATTTATGATACCCATTTATTTTAAGAAGTTTACTTAGTTAATGTTTTACACATCAATTCATTATGTTTAATTTCGGTGTTTGTACTCATATTTATTAATTTTTATGGTTAGTATCAATATAATATTATTCTTTTAACGCATTTCAATAACAAAATTAAACTTACTCGGCGATTTGAATAGGCAATTTAGCTACACTCCTGTCATGAACGAATTTCTTTAGTAGAGTAATTTCATTAGGTAGCACAATAAATAATAATATTTATAATGCGTATACACTGCATGTTTTCCAATAAAGCCAGTACAGAGAAATGAAAAGAGCTTTCCCCCACCTTCAGCGGTCCATTACTTATTCTTATCATAACCCGTAATATATTATATGTTTTTATGAGTTAACAAACCGTTATCGCCTCTGTAGCGTTTACATCGCAATCGAGTTTCCTTTATTTATCCTTAAGAAATGCGTTCCGCAGTCATGTTTTATTTTCAATTTCCAGTTGTTTCCCATGTGGTTTTTAAAACTTTAATGCGCCGAACATTTTAACCTCAATACAATTACGCGTAATATACATAAAATAGCTGTAATATTATAAAACATAAAATATAAAAAGTAAACTTTAAAACGTCGGGATGTGTTAAAAATTATAGCCTATCAGGATATCGACTAAATGTATTGGAAACAAAAATTCAAGTAACTTCTGATCAATTAATATATTGTGTTTATTAAGTTATGTAATAATCTATAAAATCTTATGGGGGGGGGAATGTATAATTATTATGTAAATTAAAACCCTTCTTTTATTTTTTTATTTTTTATTTCAACTTGCAAAAAAATAATTTTTTTTTTGTATTGAATGTATTTTAATTTAAAAAAAAAATGATCATTAAGATTTTCTACGTAGCTTGTATATATTTTATTTATTTATTTATTTATTTTTTTTTTTTTTGTTTAAAATGTATTATAATACTATATTACTTATCTGATTCAATATTTTAATTTTTAAATTACTCATTAATTTTAGTGATGCGTTAATAAATAACTATACATAGTACTATTCTTATTGAAAGCTCATTACATTGTCGGTATTACGTAAAATTAGATTTTGCTACTCGAAAAATAAGTATATTACATACATAAGTACTTAAACATAATTTAACATCTACATAAAACATGATCTATATTAAAGCTTATATTCATTACAAACACAAATGATTGTCTAATAAAAATGTGTTTGTCGCGTAGAACGATGATGATTGTTGAATTGATTAAATCACATACTATAGTTATGTATTATATTTTGTAAGTTTCTAATTATTTCGATTATGCGTTTGGGGAAAAGCTTTGCACTGTGCAAACTTCATCAAAACTTCAATATTATTTCTATTGTTGGTTTGAATGAAAAATAAAACTAGTTATTTAGATTTTTTAATCACACTTTATAATTTTAAGCGATTTCATCTCTCGTAATAATACATTTTTTATTAGTTTGATATAAATCTTAGATTAAAAGCAAACTTTATAAAAGAAAAAAAAAATTAAAAAATCATCTCGTTTAGTGTGTTGTGTGCTCGTATGTATACGTATTTTTTGTCTTTTTTTTTTTTTTTTATCTTCTCTGCCATTGTAAATATAATTTTCACAGATGAGCAACGACGACGGTGATTGGGTACTATTAAACTCGGAATCGGTGCAACGGTATTGTCATCGGGGCGCGCCGCACATCGAAGCGTGGTGTATGAGGGCCAACAAATATTTGAACAACGAGCAGTTCTTAGTGACTGTAAATGGAAAAACCGGCGGACCGAAAGCGCCAGCGGCCGCCGACGCAGACGACGACAAACGTGCCGCCGTCGCGATACCGGACACACCGAAGCAGCCAAACAGGGAAACGTACGTGTTTACACAATACAATATTATAATACTAAATTTTCTCCAGTCGTATCCGTACGATCATTGCTACGGTTAGCCTCACGTTCTCGTCTAGAAATATGAAGAACTCATTTTAGATATTTTTCTTTTTCGTTTTCACTGCCCGAAATACAGTCTCGCGTACGCCATAGTAATTTTGTTGGAACAGCTGTTTTGCTATGTAAAAAAACGTAACCAAACGGAAAACTTATATAGTCTTGACCAATATTAATTTATATTATAACATTTAACAATATCGTTAATATGGTCCATGTTTTGTCAGGGGTTTATTTTTTAATATTATTATTAATATCTAATTTTGATTCAGTATTTTGTTTTTATTTTAATTTATTATTTATAATGAGTAATAATAGTTAAGTTTTTTCTTACCTCATCAGATTATTTCATCTCAACTATATTTTTATAACACAAACAATATACAAAAATATCACTTACAGTTTTCTTAGTCTCTAGAACTAATGGAATAATAGTTGTCTAATACAATATATGTATGAAAATATAATTCGAAAACAAATCCTAAGTTAAAATTGGACAACATTTTCATTTTCATCGTTATTTGTTTTTAATTGTACATTTATTATGAAATGCATATATTATAATATATACAAAAAGAAGACTTTTTTTTTCATCTTTTAATTTTCTCACAAAATATAAAACGACATTAAAGTTTTTTAATCAAACTTTGACGAAATTTAAAATTTTTTAGGCATTTGGGACAACTAAAATCAATAATTCGTTTTCAATTATACATTCAGATTTATAAGTGTTTTAATTCCTTGGTGAACAAAGATGAATAAATATTTAAGGCAACGACCATTACATTTCAATAACTATTATACTCGTACAAGTTTTGTAGATTATGAATGCAAGACATAATTTAATCATTATGCAAAGCATATTTTTATTTAATTACTCTTTCTGCATTTTAATTGATATTGCTTTAATTAAAAAACAAAACTTGTATAGTTATATAGGTACCTAAATTACACATTAAATTATTTACTCAATGTATGCAATTGTTTACATGCGTAAATCCGTGATTTCAAATAAATATATTTCAGTATTTGCATATTTTTGTGTTTTTTTTTTAGTCATTAATATGAATGCAGCTAAGCTCTCCAGCATTATTTTTTTTTACATAAACCATGTAAAAGTTGAAATGGGTCCCCGGCTACACGCGCTAAAAAAAAATAATAAAACCTCAAATTATTATGTATTTAAGTTTTTACAAATAAAATATTTCCATGGACAATAAGCAATCTGAAAACCCGACACCATCAGTATTACCATTTATCGGAAAAACAGATGTCCGTGCATATAAATTATATCATATACCTGAACTTAATGACGGTCATAAATTCCATATAATATTTAATAGTTAATACGAATGCCCTTAATGAACACTAAAATGTGGACTCTGAATTTTCGATACACAAACTTAGTGCATAAACTTCGCTACTATTGCATTGATAATACAGTTATACAATTATTATAAGCTAAATAAATGTTTCTTTGAATTAAAGTTATTAGCATGCAAATGTCACACACTCATTATATGTATACACAAAATGATAGTACACGCACGCATATAATATATATTATATTTGAGTACTTTTCATGGGCGTTCGCTAATGTGTACTAATGTTAGTATGAAAACACTAACCGACAAAATAATAAAAAACGCGTGAAATTATTATAATATTATGCACGCGTATTATTTTTGTTTATAATTTGTACTCGTGTTACAAAAATCAATAGTTTTTAGTCTTTATGAAATTAATATTATTAAAGAATAATGATAAAACAAAAATTCGAGAAAATATTTCCGTTCACTGTTTTTAACATCAATATGACTAAATTTTAAGATTATTATATTTTGCGACTTAATTATTCCCATCAATAGTTTTCCAATGTCATATAGCTATTAATAAAATAATTGTTTTTTATGTAAATTATAATTATATGATTTATCAACTCCATAGCCCGAGGAAAGTTATTTAAATGTTGTTAAAATAAATCATGATTTAAAAAAAAATAAAGACAATGTTATGACTTATAGGAGAATATTGAAAGTTTCCTGTACAGATACTTCGTGGATAACATAGGTACTCAAAAGTTTATTCGCATTACGTATTATAACAGCTAGGTTAGGGTTATTTCAGATTAAAGAATATCGAAAATGTGCTTCTCTGTGTCAACAAGATATCAAATTTACGCTTTAAAACAATATCGTGTGTACTATGGCGTGATATCAGTATTAACAATATCGCTATCAATATCATAACGCTTGATTTTTTTTTCTTAACTCCTACTTATTTCTTGGAAATTTACACCCTGCCCCTGCGTATTATGTATATATTTATAATATTATGTTACTTATGTCGTATTCGCTTGCAATTTTTTTTCCTTCCCAGAGCAAAGCCATCGCTGCAACTTCCACCGCCGCCACCTCCGCCGCCGCCGCCTCCGCCACCACTTATACCGCCGTCCCAATCACAATCATCTCCCGAACATTTGGCAGGGCAACCAGTCGACTACAAAGTCGTTGTTTGCGGCGCCTCGGGACACAACATACGGAACCAGCCGACATTCAAGGCTACACCTGTTGGTATGCTCGTCCAGGGCAACATCGTTCAGGCGGTGGACAAGGTGACCAACGCCGAGGGTGAGTGGATCAGACTTTCCGACCAGTGCGCCGCAGCTCACTGTGGCGTTTCGTGCGTGACAGCTTGGTCATTGGCAGCTGATACGTCACGTGTCATCTATTTGAAACCGGAAAAGGATCAGAGTAAGTCGATTATTGAGAGCATGTTAACACACTGTTTTTTTTTCTCTTTCTGATCTACGTGCAGCGTAGACAAACTTCGTTCACACGGTAATCGGATTTTTTTCATGCTATTAGGTAAAAAATGTTATAGAGAATTTTTGGTATGACATAATAGGTATATCCATATATCTCAAATGTTTAAATATTATTTCAAACAGATTAATATACAATTAAATTTACATTTTTTTTTTTTTTAAGCCTATACTCATATATATTGTCTCCGTCTTCCGTACTACATAGAAAATTTGCGTTCAATACAACTGATTGTATATGTTATTTTGTAGCGCGTAGATCTGAGAGAGAAAACAAATATTGCTCTGACGTCTTATTAATGCTAATTCTACAGAATATGTAATCATTGTTATCATTATTGCGTGTTACCTACCTCTATGGTCTGTGCCTATAAACTGCCTCAAATGGCACACTGTATATACCCTTTTCCAAGAAAATGTGGTTAATCCACACAATCAACTGAAGTAGAGAAGTGAAGAGATTTGAGGGTTTCGGCGGAGTAAAATACGTTTGGATTTGTGCGTAACCACATTCTCGTGGCAAACAGATTATAAAATATAAAGTTATATAATAATTAATAAAATATTCTATGATATGTATTAGCATATGAAATGAGTGTTGACTCTGGATAACTAAATTATATACCATATAAGTTTATGTAACTTGTAAACGTTAAAAAAATCAACAAAATATGTTTTTAACTTTTCGTATACATTTAATTTTAACCGCGTTACCGTTTAATTCAGTCAAATTTTAGGGCCAGTGCCATTTATTGGGAGTGGATTGTGTGTAGTAATCCCATGGATAGCTAGTGCCAATAATAATCCCCTGTCACACTCATCGTCCGACCAAATCCGCGCAGGTCAACCGTGTGGTTGAGCGCGCGATGACCGTGCTGACTAAAGTCTGTTCCGTTGGTTTTTTGCGATTTATTTTCTCCCAAGTACACATTTTGATTTTAACAGCAGCACTTAAAAGAATTAAATATAAATATTTAACTCAAAATCATTTATCATTTTAAGTCTATTAGGTCAAGTCTTGGAACTCTGAAAGTTTGACCGGTTATTATTGTATTTATGTGGATGCATTAATTATAATCCGTAGGTAGTATGTCCCTTATCTTCTAAAACCCACTGTTAGAGTAAAGGCTTTATTGCTGGAAAAGCGGTACAATTAATCAGGATAAAATGACCTATCTTTTGTATGTACAATATGTGAACATTCAATATTTATTGATATAATAAAATACCCGTACGATTCAATGCGGAAGAAGGGACCATTTCACAGGACACTGTGCCTTTTTTGAGACGTATATAATTATAATTAATTACTCATTTTGACTATTACCGCTAGATTTTATGATATGTATATAAATGCAGTATAACTGTGAACCTTGGCCGGTGTTCCACTATTGTTAACTGATACAGATTTAATTGTTATTAATAATTAAATGCCATTAATTTTTATTAAATATTTTTTGCCAATAGTTATAATTAATACTGTTATTTATACATATTAATAATATGCTTGTTTTAGTAAATACATTATATATAATAGATATTAAATTATCCGAATCACATTGCAAAAAATTGTTTAATTATTTAAATGTTCAATATAAAATAATTCAATACAAGTGAAAAAGTTATTATTTAAATTCAATGATATATCATTGTGTTCGAAAAACGATTCTGAGCGTAAATGGTCTGTCAGGCTAAGTATATTTCATGATATACTTTTTTTGATATATCTAGCTATTAAAGTCATTTATTTAATTTGAAGTACCAGAGTAGTTTGATATAATTTTTACAGAAGAAAATATTGCATATTCTTCATTTGTTAAAATCATATGTTTTACTTGTACAATTAAACTTTATTGAAACAAGTTATATAACTCAACATTGAATAATACCTATCTGTAAATATCGACATACTGTTAAAGAGTAAAAATAGATTCATAGCATAAATATCTTAAAATAAATCAAAAATATTATTTTACATAGTAAAATTAATAATAACATAATGTACCTAAAAGTTTTTAGGTTTCTAAAAATAATATTTTTAAATTATAAAAAATAATTACTTTTGTAAATTGTTTTATATTTTATGCTTTCGATATAAACTATTATGAGAAATCTTGTATTAAATTTTTAAAAGTTGGAATTAAAAAGAAAAGTTCTTATGAATTTCTAACTACATAATAGTTTGCACTTTTTGCGAATTTGACTAATTTCGTCAAAATTCTAACTTAAAACTTAAAAAAAAAAAAACATTGTGACAGCGAATGTTTGATGTTTTTTAATTGAGAAATTAATAACTTATGAAGAGTTTTGTATTACATTTTTAAGCTTTCTACCCCATAAATAATTTTTAGTTGACATTTATAGAAAAAAAACTAAAAAAAAAAAATAAGAATTACTCATGCCTAATAAATCTATAACTAACTCACAAATAGCTGAAATATTTTTAAAATTCAATCGTAAATAAAATTATAGTATAAATATTTGATGATCATTTCAAATATCTATTTTTTATTTCTTTTTGGTGTAATCAAATCTATCAAAAATTATATTTGCGTAAAAATTCCTACTTTTCCTTAGTTTTATTTATTTATTTTTTTTGTTTTCTTGACAATAAAAAAAGTACTGGAAATTCATTGCTTTATAATTTATACTTTCACACCTTGTTTCAAAGTATCAATTAAATCAAATTTATCACAAAAACCATCACCATTTTTGAAAATTGATGTATTTTAATTTCCCAAAATACGATAAAAAAAAAAAAAAAAAGAAAAAAAAAAAAAAAAAACACAATCTAAAAATCAAACTTAAAATCTCACAATAATTTAAATAAGTACAGTGTATTCAAGTAAAAAATATAACTTTAATAATAATCATATTTTTATATGGGACAATCTGTTATGGTTGCATACATTAAATGAATAAACTAAATATTTTCTATCTGAGGCAGGCCCAATATTCATATTTTCGTCAGAACGAACGTCGTACAAAAGTAGATATTAAATAAATTGAAATGCAAATTTTCCAATAATACGCATTGTTCGCGTCATTGTGGTACGATTAAACTGTCTGAAATACTTTTACTACGAGACATGCCATTAATGCATCTGGATTGTCAAGATTCGTCAAAATATTATTCAGATATAGGAAAACATTATAAATGAATATATATCTACAAATTTGAATATTGAATAAGAAAACAAACAAATAACGTTTACTCGTCGTTACGATATTCACACAATGCGATGCATATTATCGTCAATAAATTTATACAAATGTGTGAAACGAGACCAATAGAGTGCATACACAACATGTGCTATCCCATCGATCGCAACGGTCGTCTTTATGTCGATTAAAATGATGAATTTACGAAATAATCAACTTTCATCTAATAACTACTTATAAACTGAAACGTATTTTAATAGCACAGTACACTTACGCGGTATAATAGGTATGTGATAATATTAACTATTCGTATAAATTTATTTTTAAAATGTTCATCTTCAAAAATACAATACATTATAAAATCGTAAAATGAAATAAAATTACTTACGTGTCTATAACCATTGGTATATATCACCTCAACAATAATATTATTGCAATCATGTGACTTTAATTATATAGCTGTGCTTGTAGGCATATCTGTGTTATAGCGATTGTATGTTGGTTATAATTAATCGCTCGATTTCGTGATCGTAAAAGTACTTGAAAATATAAATTATAGAATTATTTAAATTTTAAAAATATCGCATAAACGTCGAAAAAATAATATTAACGACCGTTCTGCGCATACTATCGTACGCGTTTGAAAACCCAATGTGGGTATTACACCGAAGGGTAGACATGTCTCTGACGAACTGCAGTTTGATGTACCAACGGTATATAATACATTACATTATGATGATATGCATTTGACCATCGAAATTTACTGTTCTCGGAATACCACTGCATCCACGTACAGCGTTTTAATGCCTACGTATTATATTATATTGTGCACATTTATTAAGTGAATATGATGATATTATCATAGCGTTCACCTAATCGGTTAAACATAATCTTTCGATGAAAAATTAAACGATAAATATCGCACACACACACACACATGTATAACGTTTTCATTGTTTGCCATAGCATTAATACACAGAATGATTCCTATAACGGCTACAACGGACCTATCCGCCTCTAACAAACCATCATGGTCTCATAAACCGCCCGAGTGATGCCGCTAAAACGTTTTAGCTGTGATGAATTCTGCGACTTCAACATGGCTAATTTGTTTGTTGCACTCGCATATAATAGCATTACAAGCGCACGGATTGTTTTGAATTTAGGTCGGTAAATTAAGCGCGTAGGTACAGTAACTAAATTTGCGGCGGCAGTGGCGGCACCGGCAGACGGACGCGCGCATCCGTTAAACTATAATTAAAATCTCCGTGTGCGTGTATTATGAACATGTGTACAAGGGAACGCATTTTACCGGTGAAGGAATTTAATAAATTGACGTGCACCCCGTGAGCATCTCCCTTGCGCCCGCCAAAATTCATTACCTATCCCGCGGTAAATACGCGCGCGCCGAAAAAGGAGTTACACACTCGCGTAGCGCACGGGCCGCGTGCCAGGCGACTTTAATATATCTGGACGAAAGCCCAAAATTATCAATTACTATAAATACTGTTTATATATATATACCGTAAATTGGGGCGACATTGTTAATGACGGGTGACTTTGATAATGTTGTTTTATTTCATTAAATTGTACACTATGGCTACACTGTTCGCAAAAAATTAATTTTTATTGTATATATTGATAAAGAAATATAGTCTTATAATGATAACGGTTAAGATACGATTTATCATCAATTATTTGAAACGTGTGTTATCTTCAATCTCAACGTTATTTTAAATGTAAAATAACAACGTTTTAAAATTAGCT